AAGAGAAGAGAAGAGAAGAGAAGAGAAGAGAAGAGAAGAGAAGAGAAGAGAAGAGAAGAGAAGAGAAGAGAAGAGAAGAGAAGAGAAGAGAAGAGAAGAGAAGAGAAGAGAAGAGAAGAGAAGAGAAGAGAAGAGAAGAGAAGAGAAGAGAAGAGAAGAGAAGAGAAGAGAAGAGAAGAGAAGAGAAGAGAAGAGAAGAGAAGAGAAGAGAAGAGAAGAGAAGAGAAGAGAAGAGAAGAGAAGAGAAGAGAAGAGAAGAGAAGAGAAGAGAAGAGAAGAGAAGAGAAGAGAAGAGAAGAGAAGAGAAGAGAAGAGAAGAGAAGAGAAGAGAAGAGAAGAGAAGAGAAGAGAAGAGAAGAGAAGAGAAGAGAAGAGAAGAGAAGAGAAGAGAAGAGAAGAGAAGAGAAGAGAAGAGAAGAGAAGAGAAGAGAAGAGAAGAGAAGAGAAGAGAAGAGAAGAGAAGAGAAGAGAAGAGAAGAGAAGAGAAGAGAAGAGAAGAGAAGAGAAGAGAAGAGAAGAGAAGAGAAGAGAAGAGAAGAGAAGAGAAGAGAAGAGAAGAGAAGAGAAGAGAAGAGAAGAGAAGAGAAGAGAAGAGAAGAGAAGAGAAGAGAAGAGAAGAGAAGAGAAGAGAAGAGAAGAGAAGAGAAGAGAAGAGAAGAGAAGAGAAGAGAAGAGAAGAGAAGAGAAGAGAAGAGAAGAGAAGAGAAGAGAAGAGAAGAGAAGAGAAGAGAAGAGAAGAGAAGAGAAGAGAAGAGAAGAGAAGAGAAGAGAAGAGAAGAGAAGAGAAGAGAAGAGAAGAGAAGAGAAGAGAAGAGAAGAGAAGAGAAGAGAAGAGAAGAGAAGAGAAGAGAAGAGAAGAGAAGAGAAGAGAAGAGAAGAGAAGAGAAGAGAAGAGAAGAGAAGAGAAGAGAAGAGAAGAGAAGAGAAGAGAAGAGAAGAGAAGAGAAGAGAAGAGAAGAGAAGAGAAGAGAAGAGAAGAGAAGAGAAGAGAAGAGAAGAGAAGAGAAGAGAAGAGAAGAGAAGAGAAGAGAAGAGAAGAGAAGAGAAGAGAAGAGAAGAGAAGAGAAGAGAACTGAGGGACCGTCCTCTTGGGGCTTCACCCTCTTCTGGCAACCAGACTGTCTCAGGCTAAGGAGGAAAGCAAAGTTTGGACAAAATCTAGAGCTAGATTCTGCTAATTTTAATCACTGAGAGTAGTCACAGGAGGATTTGCCGCACCACCTCAGCAGCTTTGTGCTGCTCTACTCCTTGGGTACTAGTTACCCTGGCTGGTAGGTTTATCTGCAAAGAAACATGGAGTGTTATTTGTCCTCCCGTGGGAACAAATACTGACAGAGGGGACTGTCTGGACTAGTGTTCTTGATTGCTCTGCAAAATTTGCACCTATTCCTTCATAAGTTTCTGTGGCAAGGGTAATGGTCAAAGGTGATTTCTGAAAACAAAGTTCAGGTGCCAGTACAGAGCTTGTCCCACAGGAAGAGGACAAAAATACGTGAGACTCTCAGCTGTTTTAAATAAGCCAAGCTCCATGAGATGCTAAGAGGTCATGCAGATTCATGTCAGGTGAGGATCTGCCTGAAATCTCTTGATCAAAGCCACAGTGCCTAGCATGGCGTTTTGTAGAGTTTGGCTTTGCTTCTGTACTTATCCTAAGTTCACCTGACTGGATTTCACCTGTGTCCAAATTTACAATCTTTCCAAGCTTCATCTCTTTACACAGGCCCATTGAGGCAGGTTATGTGGCTGTGACTGCTGAAGTTATTTCATTTTTCAGTAATGATTTATTTATCGGAGGCTGAAATTATCAAAGTAAATCTGAATCCAACTTTCTTATCCATTTATGACTCAGTTGCCCACCTTACACTTGATTAAAACAGAGTTATTGGATAAAAGAGAAACCGGGACAAATTCTGAACTGATGTGTAGTGGAGTAAATTGGTTTCAGTAGAGGCACGCTGATTTACATCAAGTGAGGAACAGGAGAAAGAAAAACAAAACTGGAGTTATGCATGAAAAATAATCAAGTTGGTTGCTAATGTGAGCAGAGGGCAATTAATAGGTTTGTACACTGGATGAAAGAAGCCATGCTTTATTTTTCCTTCCACGAGTAAGCTTTTCATCCCTTTCACATTTTTAAATAGGCATTGTCTTAAAAACTGAAGCCTTTTGACTTCCCCAGCTGGTACAGTGTTGGACATACATCTTAATTTTACCTAAACTGGTTCAGTTAACATACTAAGTTAGTTAAATGTGTTCAGCATACTGCGCACACTTCCATCAGTGTCAGTTTACTCATAATGGGGTGTTGTGCATTCACATATCTGGGGTACTGCCCACACCATAATGGGGTAGTGATAGCAAGCTGCTGTCCTCAAGCTGAGTCACAGGAGCCGAACACATGCAGATGTAACTCATGTGGCTGGAAGGTGGTAGACCTATCCAGCTTCATGACCAGCAAGAGGTAAACCATGCTAGCTCAGTGAAAGTGGATCAGAGTGTATCCATGGCCAGCGAACAAGCATTAACTAGTTACATGCTGCCAACTTCATCATATAGTACAGCCTTTCATGAAGAGATGTTTTTTTGATCTTCTCCCCTCTAAGATAGCTAAGGACTTGCAAAAATATAGGTGCTTGGGTCCTCAGCTCATGTAAACAGGTGTCAGGGCATTGGGTCTGATAAAGGGATGGGGTAATGTAAAATAACTTCTCATAATGTCTATTCTATTTAATTTTAAAAATTGTGAAGTAGATGGATGGTGGAGGAAGCACAGCCTTGATCTATCTATCAACTCAGAGCACTGCCACACCTGATAGCTTTAGAAGTAATTTTTCAGCTTGTACATTCCTTTATGTTTCAGAGTAATTTTTAGTTGCAAATAACTCTCATTTTCCCCTTTATATAAACACAAATACATGCAATCCATCTCATAAATAATCTGCCATGTGTTTCCTGCTTGTTAAAAATAGATGACACCTGATTTAATGCCCAGAGAACTATTTTTTGCATTCCAAATTCACAGTTGTTTCAGGCACGGGTTAGGGCATCAGAGTCTGGTGAATTATCACAGAAATGTTGCTTATTTTCACCTGTATAATAATCTTCAAGAAACACAGTAATTGATGATTACTGCTATAGGTCCTGATCCAGCAAAGCACTTAAGCACATGCTGAGATCTACCCATGTGAGTAATCTCACTGATTTCAGTGGGGCTACTTGCACGATTAAAAGTTAGTCTTGCTGAAGTGCTCTGCTGGATTTGGGCCGTGGTGGTTTATGTCATGTGAGCCACATATCTTGAAAAGAAATTCCATGGTAAATAACAGATAACTTTGTTAGAAGGAGAGAGAGACAGTTCACTATCCTTAGTGGTCCTACAGGCCTTATTCAGAGATCACACAGCTGTGCTGCCTTATCCTGCTGCTAAGCAGTTGTTTGTGTACAGAAGAAGTACCACAGAAATAGCTTTTGCTGTACTTGCACATTAATTTTTCTGGAAATCACAGTTTGTCTCTTATACAACTTTGTCTCATTGGGGGTTGCCTGGTTGCATTTTTTACATCATGGACAGCCCACAAAATCAAATCCCTTGTGATTTCACAATGCTCAGAGAATTGATGCAGTAACCCTTTGTTTTCCTTTTCTTCTAACCTCTGATTGTTGGGAGCACAGCTCTCTTTAAATTTGTATCTTCTAATTCTTTTGCTACTTTGGCACCATCCCATGCTCTTGAGATAAAATCCTAGCCTAAAGCTGAGAAGTCTTTTTCAGTGGAAGTTTTCTTGCAACTGATGCACTTCAAGGCAGATCTTAGGTACTGATGAATCAGCCTTTTCAGAGACAAGATTACTTTGTTGGAAAACTCCTGGCCAGCTTTATTTCTAACTACTTATTTAGTAACTACTCAGGTTATTCTGGCTCACACTTTGTTTTCCTTGCTTTTCTTTAATAAAGTGTCAAGGGGAATTTTTGAAGGACATAATGGGTTTAGGAGCTGGAATCCCCCAGAAAGGAGGTGGTGTCAGAATTCCTATACTGCTTAGAAGTCCTTAGTGTCCTATGGTCAATACACTGCTTTCTCCCTCCTTTGACTCACATCATTCCTTGGTTTTTTGCTTCTTCTAAGAAACTGATAATTAGACAAAGATATGTTTTTACTTTGCAATGGAAATTGCTGACATATGACTTCAGTGAAGCTTATCCAAATGTCAACTGCTGGCTATTAGGAGTAAATCCAGCAGAGGCAAAAAGGGAAGAAAGCTTTTGTTAGACTTTAAACTACTACCAATCTCTCCACCTTTACAAATACGGAGATCTACACCTTACATGAACAGCTGCACTGTTGTGTTTCCTCCTGTGCTCTCAAGCTTTGAAACCCTCTGGGAACACCAGGCCTTTTCAGCTGAAAGCAATGAGGTGGTGTGTCCTACCTTTCACTGTGAGGAGAGTCTCGGTAGGAATCAGGGGTCTCTCTCGCATGCCGGAGGAAACTGTTTCCTTCCCGTGGCCCACCAATACCATTGAGGCGGCCCCGGGGCCCCACTGGGCTGGTGTGCCTGCTGTTTTCCATGGAGGAGCTGATGAGCACTGAGTGGCTTTCGGAGAGGATGCTTTCAGTGTGGCCATTACTCCAGCTAGAGAGCAGCAACCAGGAAAGGAGAAGGGAGGGGAGCATGAGAGGGTGCTTCGGTGGCAAATGCAGATAAGCAAAAGTTTAGCCAGGGCAAAAAAAGGGCTCTGCTGCTGCTTGGGATGTGCAGCATAACCTTCAGGTTGGTAACTGGGGCTGAAGAGTTTTGTGAATTGTATGAATACACATACATCGAGATAATTTTGCATGTGTGGATAAAAGAAGAGGGAAGGAGGGCTTTCCAGTCACCTGGACTCTCACTCATTTAGCAGTTTGCATATACTAAAAATCACTGTAACAGCACTGGAATGTTGTTCAATCAATAAAGTTCTTTGTAAATTCCTGGGAAGATAGTTAGGTGACACGACATCAAATATTGTTAGTCTTAAAACAAAAACACTATGAAGGGAGCATACATTTTCCTAGGTTTGTTTTTTTTTACACATCTTTTCGGTTTTGCAACAGCAGTAGATCATATACTACAGCTGCTGTTTGCCTTTCCTTTCCAGTACCTGTGGCTGGGTGTCTGCGTGACTGTCACGGAGTGATGTGTTGTTGAGGTGTAGTGGCTTGTAGAAAAAGAAGTCTCTGTTTCTCTCTCGATGACATGCTCGCTGGAGATGACGTTTTTTGAAACGTACTGCTGAAAAACACCAGACAAACCTCATGTTTACAAACTGCAATTCACAGCACATTTGCAGACATAATTTCCAATCTTTCCCCCCTTCCCTCCAAGTCACAAATTTTTACATGTGCCAAAGCACAAACTTTGTCACTTAAAAAGAGGCAGAAACTACACTGACACACGAGCACATTCATGTACAAGTCTGCATACATGCTCCATCTAAACTCAAAGTAGAAGGAAAAAAATGAGGAAATTAGCAAAGGTCTGCATGCCAATCAGTCCATAAACAACATAAATATTTAACAAGGGAATGAGAAGTCTAAATGGATAGAGACCTGAAAAGGCACCCCCCTTTACTACCAGAAACATCAAACATACTATTCTCTGATGGAGAAGAGAGCAGTAGTAAGCAGTAGCAATTGTTCATTGCAAGATAACAATCCGGGCAGCAAATAACTATTTTCAGTGCCTGTGGATGCAGGACTGGGGCAGGCCTATTCATCAGGGGATGTTCTGAAGAATGGGTCAAAACCTCCTGAGATGAGGCTGGAGGTGTGCAGTGCCCAAACTCCCACACAACTTTCATGTGGAGGTCCCCCAGTGCTGCTGTTGGTAGGACTCTCCATTCTCCTCAGCGGGGAATCCTGGTTTCTCTCTCTTAATAATCTGACTATGGATTTAGGTCTTTTGAGGGGAAATATTGGAAGCTGAGCTCTTCTGAAAAGGTGTCCTGGCCTTAACCAAGGTGGGAGCACTGCCACTGACTTAGCAGAGCCAGGACTCACCCCTGCAACAAGCAGTCATGAGTATGTACAGTGATGGTGGAGCAGGAGAACTGGGATGGCTTAAGGTGGCAGGAAGCCACCATTCCCTCTGGGCACCAGGCTTCCCTGGGAAAGGGAGGAGAGGAGGAAGTGGCTACAGGCAGCGTGAGCCCTGGCCTCTAAGGCCTTCAACATTAGTTGAAGAGTAACTCTGCTCTGACAAATGGCTGGGGCATGCTGATGGAGTATCTGTCCCATCTCCCCAGCCACTGCTACTATCCAGGTGAGATCTACATTCAGACCTCTGAGGGGGCTGTCCCTACTCACCAACCATCAGGCCAAGGGCAGTAGGAAGAGCAAGACACATGTGTATGAAGAAATCGATCCCTACAGCACTTAGTCCTGCTGTAGAGCTGTTAGTATTTTTTTCTGAGGTGCTTTTCTTGCTTTCAGTGTCCTAGATCCATAGGCACAGCTGCAGCACTGAGACATGCCCCAGTGAATGGTTATCTGCAGAAAAATATCTCATTTTACGCATATTTTTTGCAAAGTTCCTAATGGTTTCTCGGTGGAGAAAGACAGGAGAATTCAGTCACCAGCCTGCAGCTGGTAGAAGTTTAAAAGCTGCAGGGCAATATTTGCTGTGGCACTGGCAGCCTAGGCTGAAATAAAGGCAGTAAAACCTACGTTCACCAGCTGGACATTATCTGACGGTGGGTTGGGGTGGTGTGGCCCGTTGGCCATGTTCATCACATTGTTCCTTTCCGAGCGCAGGCTCTGCCGAAGGCGGTCATGCAACTTTTTCCTCTGCTTCCTGTGCATGAAACATGGAAACGATTTTTATAGACAAAGGGAAAGCAGCTGCACCTTTCAGCATGTTGATGATGATGACAATAATAACATCACTTTTTTTGCCAGCACTTTCCCCATCACTGCACCACAGGTCTCATTGCAGCTGGAGATGTGGGAACCTGTACAGGGGGAAGGATGTGTGGGAACCCTTCCAGGAGTCAGCAGGACACAGAGGGATGGGAAAAAGTGCAAAGAAGAAGAAAGCCATTCCTAAGCCATGGTCTGTCTCAGAAGGAGTTCTTTTCTGCACTCAGAAAGGAGGGGGGAGACATTTTAACCCATCCATCTTCACTCACGCACTGTGGCCATGGCCACATTTCTGACAGCCTACTGGGTTATGCTTGTCCATTCACAGAGCGAGCTGAGGTGGCCTTGCCTCAGGACTTGCTTGCGGCCACTGGAAAATGTGGCATGTGCCATGATCTTTGTGATATGGCACCTACACATTTTTTGTGGGATTCATCCCCTACCTCAACGGTGCACTCCAAATACATAAATATGTTACAGAAGTGAAGGGTGCAGAGGAAGCCTCAGAAACAAAGTGAGTGAGTGTGTAGGTATGATTGAGCTTGCATCTATCCTGGCAGCTCTGGAAGGTTTTGTTACAGAAACATCAAATTAACTCTGGAACCTAATGATTAGCAGGGGGAGGCCAAGGTTGTGAATGCATTCATTAGAACCATCTATCAACTAATGGCATGGTCTCTGGCTGACTTGTATGCTTCTAGCATGCCCTGTCCTCAGCCAATCCTTCTCCAGTTGCTAATCCTTCTAGCTCTTCTCAAAAGACTTCAGGAGATTATTACAAGCTGTCAGTAACAAAACGAAGTAAATTAAAACCTGGTGCTGTGAAGGCCATGAAGAACACACTAAATAGAACACCAGAATAAATAACCAGAGAAAGAGCTATTCCATTTTATATGTAATTTATTGATATTTCCCAGCTTTGATTATAGTGAAGAACTTCCACCATCCTGCCACAGAATCCAGGGAAATGACAGACACAGGCTCCATCATACTGCTGAGTGCATATGACCTTGACTGTGGCAAGAACTAAAATACACACAATTCCCTAAGCCGTATGCAGAAGTGCAGATAGTTTTAGCAGGGTAAAACTGTGTAAGATATAACCATTTTCAATCCTGTTTTGAACTCAAGGGGACTATTCCAAGCTTTCCAATAAGAAGGGAAAGGGAAAACAATTAATATGCTGAAGCTTGATAGCCAGGAAAGCTTAAAGGCAAAGAAAACATGACTTGACACACTGTATTTTACATATTTTCTCTCCGTGTATGTGCCTGTACAGTGGAAGATGTTTAATTTATGTCACTCCACATGAATGGTATAAGCAGACATGTCTGCCTTGGAAATGCTCTTGTCTCAGCAAGACACAGTCCCTGGTCCATGTGGGCTTTGTGTTTGGAGGACAACCACGACTTAGGACAATCTTAGGACACACAGGTGGTTAAAGTGGATGGAGAGTGCAGTGCCAGGAGATATTTTAGCAGCCACCCAAAGACTTGACTGGGCTGAGAAGCAACACACACAAAGGTTTAACCTGATGTTACAGTATCACTTCATAAGACCTTGGAGACCTTGGCAGATGAGGACAACCTGAGTACCCTGACATGGTAGAGAAAGTGGGTTCTAGAGGGAGTTTTTGTTCATCATCTATGGGTCTGAGATCCTGGCACATATTGCCTGGGAGTCTCCCCCTAGGAAACTGCATTATTTTCCAACTTCAGTGATCAATGTGTTTGCATTTTGCATGCTTCCATGTGTGCTCTTTGTCCTCTAGTAAAAGGACACTAACTAAACCCAGAAATTACTACAGGAAACTGAGAAGAAAGAATAATGGGAAAGCTAATGTATACTTCAGTTATTCTGAGAAGCCTTTTCCTTAATGCAAATGACTTGCAAATAAAGTACATCTGAATTAAGACTCAGTGTCAGAACATACTGCCTTAGCATTTGACCTGCAGTACCTCTTGCAAGGAGACTAACAAAAACTAAATCATTACATTTTATTTATTGTGTTCTTCTAACATCATCCCAGGATCTCCCCCAGTTTCTGGGTTTACCCCTATCAGGAAGAAGAGCATGCAGGGAACATCTCACAAATAGCAGTCTTTCACCACTGCTGCACTTGGAGGGCCATGAACTGGCAGCTCACTTTCACTCTCATCAGCTGTGTTTGAGAACACTTGGCTTTTGGCTGGCAGTGATCACTGATGTTTGCGACAAACCATGACAAAGCATCCAGACCCCTGATGGATTCTGGGTGCTCTTTATATAGGAAACTGTGTTTCAGGACCTTGACTAAATGTTTGTTGAAATTCATGGGGATGTTTTGACTGATTTTGATGAACTTTGGACCAGAAAAGGTATTGTTTAACTGCCCTGACTTGGCAGTTGTGATTTCTAAAAGCAATAGTTGATCTTATTCTTTACTACTGTTTCAGTCATTCCCCACTGATCACTGGTAGAAGACTGTGGGTGGGAGCAGCATTTGTGTGTGGCTGGACTCTCACTGAGGGATCCAAATGATTCCCCTCCTCCCTCCCTTTTAACACATCCCTTATTGGTGGGGCTTTCAAGGAAAAACAATAACCTAACTGTCAATAAGGCCCTGCAACAGTTAATCAGATTTATACAAATGTGGAAGATTTATGATAAGGGTTTGCTGTGTTTTGGTGAGAGATTTATAAGAGCAGCCAGAGGTTCTGGCAGCACAAATCCTGCTGATGTTTAGTGTAATTTATGGCCCAGAGTGCCTCATGCGTATTTGAGAGTCACCCCCGGTAATTTAAAGAGACTGACAGAATACATTTAAATGTCTACTTTTGCACTGAGAGCACTTCTGTGTTCAGTTCTTTGGCTTTCGGCATCTAGTAACTTTTAGCACCATTAATCTTGCCTCAGGTACAAACAAACTAGGCCGATACCTAAAATTTACTGCTAGAGACCAACATGATTCCAGTTTTTTCCTTTCCAGCTGGGGAGAACAGATGGAATGGGTGGTAGATAAATAATTTCAAGCCAGTGAAATTTGCTCAAGTACATTTGAAGGGTGTGAAACCTTTCAGATACCTGTCTTATTTTTGCACTGATGATGGACATAGAGACCTGCACCTGTCTGACTTGGACCAGAACACCCTGGCCACAGGTTGGACTCCTGATCTCAGCTTTGGAGAAACCCAGATACAATCTTATGCTCAGAGGAGTAGAAGCGACAGTCAACTGGGAAGGCCTTAACCAACAACCACAGATATAAAAAAGAATATAGTTTACTTGGTTTTGCAGTAGGCCACCACACACATGATGCCAACTACTAGAAGAGCAATGCAAATGCCAGTTATGGTCAGCACCCGTTTCTGGTACAGTTCCTCAGCTTCTAGAAAGGGACAAAAACAGAGAAGGTCATAACATGGAGGATGGTTAGGCAAGGAGCACACAGTCAACATCTGACATGCTACAAATCACTGCACAGATTCACACAGCCACAGAAAAAACACAGCCACCACACTTCAAACAGAGTCATTATTGACCACAAGGAGAACAGGACTACACCATAAGCTCTCAACACAGTACTGGGGATGAATGATCATCTGTACAATTATAGTCAAAAGTAATTTTTTTTTTTAAGTCAACAATAATAATATCTAAGAAACAATTTTACCATTGACAAACATTCTGCATTTGCTGGAATTAAAAATGCAATGCACTAAGGTAATAACATGAATTTGCAAATGCTTTGCAAGTTTTACTCTGCAAAGACAGCTGAAGGCAAATTTTAAAGGCCTTAAGAGAATTTTTTTAAAAAATTTTTTAAAAAATCATTTTCATATCCAATCTCCCTCTGCCCCCATGCCAATTTAAATCTCAGTTGTCTTTACAGGAGAGATTTCAAAATATCCTTCTACATTTGAGACATGAGCTTGGCTTGTAATTCTATCACCAATGGAAATGAAGACAGTTTTTGAGCTATGGTCATAAAATTCAGACTTCTTCTCCAGTGCTCCTCCAAAACCACAACAATATCAACAACTAACAGTGCCTTGTGTCAGAGAAATGCTGAGTTTCTACTTGTGTCTCTTTGTGTTCTGCAGAGGAACTGCTCGATGTAGAGTGGCAGCTTGCTCAGTGATGACAACTTCTTACCAATTTCAGTCATCAGAGATATTTCACTTTTGTAAAGACATTAGTAGCACCGGTAATGTTGGGTTGGAGCTACCCATGCATTCCAGCCTTGTTCATACTCAGCAGAGAGCATCACTGCGTGCTGGACTGGGGAAACATTTATGCAAGGACTGCTGAAACAGAGGTGCATTCTGTGTTGATTCAAATCTGGAGGCAGATTTGCATTCCTGCCTTTAGGCCAAAAATAGGTGTCTAGCTTTTCTCAAGTCTTACTTTGTTTTAGTAGACAATCCAGAAAACTTGCCCTGGAGGATCCAGACAGGACTGTGGCCTTAGATCAGATTGCAATATTGACTACAGCTGGAATACCAGCAGGTGACTAAAAATAAATGAACAAATAAAAACTGCACAGCTCTGCACTACCATTGGGATAAATGCCTGTATTATTCCTGCTGGAAGAGACTTACATGAACGTAAAAGGCTTGTGGGACAATTCACCAGAAGGTACAGATATGCACAATGATTCCTCACATGTGCCATGAGTCTCTGTCCCCAAGTTCAGGCACTTAAATGATGTGCTGTCATAAACGCCATGCCAGTTTTGGAGAAAATGCTCCCTACTGAAGAGGGAACAGTCATTTCTCCTATGTGTTCCCTCAGCTTATCTAGTTTATTTTTAAAGTTGCTGTGGGCAAATGGCAAATATTCCATGCAACAAACCACAAAGCAAAAAGAAATTTTAATTTCTCTGATACAATGCACCTCACCATGGAACAATTTTGTCCTACAAGCCAAACCCGCTGTAAACCAAAACACCAGCACACAGGTCATGAACACATCAGACAAAATTAACAGTACGGATTATTAACAAGGGAGAGGGGGTAAGAAGTGAGTTTGGTAAAACTAGGATGTTGCAAAAATGTATTAAAGAAAACAAAAATATAACTCGAAGAGCAGAAAAGTCAGAAAATGAAAGGAAGAAAGGGCTGAAACTCCAAACCAGGACAAAGAGAAAAAGAGATAGGTGAAGTATAGGGAAAGACAAGGTTAAAGGGTTGTGAAGTCAGCTGCAGGCGTGGCACAGCATGCTTGATACTGGAAAAAACAGAGTGAAAAAATGCTTGGGGGAAAAAAAAAAAGGCTGAAGCAGAGTGTGAAGGGATTTCTCATACAGCATAACTCCTTGCCTAGGCTAGTTAATGGCACTTGATCCCCTTACCATTTTGCCCCTTCTGAAAGTGCTTATTAGCTGTGAAATGGTGTATTATGAGGATGTCACAGGAAACAGGAGAATGGCACTAAGAAATTTAGGGGCAAATTTGAAATGCTTTGAATTTTTTTTTTTTTTTTGGTGGTCATGCTGTCAGCTGTTAGCTTGTGAAAGCAAAATGAATAAGGACATATCAACCCATTCTTACTGAAGTGAAAGGAAGAGGAGGAAGGAGATTAATTAACAGTGGAAACTCTGCTTGGTTGTTTATACTCAGGGAAAGACTGCACTGATTCCAAGATGTTTAATCCAGACTGAGGCTGTTGCAGATGTACTGGGTGGCTGGCTGGTGATGGCCTTGCTAAGGCCAGTGGATTGAGGTTCACTGCTTGTCTGATGGCACTGGCATGTCTGCTGGACCTGTAGGTCTTGAGGGGCATGAAGAGGTAAACCCCTGGGTCTGCTTTCATTGCTTTAATCCCCTCCTGTGCCCTTAGAAATTAGAATACATAGGATGATGCAGCTTGACATGGTCTACATGAATGGCAGCACTGCCAGGCCTTTCCTCAAACCATGGAGAGAACGGCTGCCTGGGAAGGCACACATGTCCAGGGCATGTCTTGCCCAACAAACCAGTAAGCCCCCATGTAAACCTCGCTGTGTGCCTGGCTGACTGGGGGACACTTGGGTGTCCTGCAGGGGCCCCTGTGAGCAGCAGAGGATGCTGCCAGCTGGGCTGGGCTGGGCTGGGGATCCTGGACACAGCTCTGCAGTCGACATGGTGTCTTGGGGACAAGCCTTAGCCTCTGCGTCTAGGCCAGAAGAGTTTTGTGAAGCAGGGACTGACTCCTGTGGGCCACTCATGGTTATACTGGGTCTCACCCCAAAACTGCCCTCTCTCTCTGACCAGTGGTAACATTTACAGAGTCAGTTAATGATGCCCAGCCAAATAATAGGTGTTTGAAAAAAAATTAATAGCAGCCCTCGGGAAAAGTCCATAATGTATGTGCGGTGAGAATTTAGAAAAGTTTTTAGCCTGTTAAGTATTAAAAATTGTTTGAGTATTTTTTTTCCCCTGCAGAATGCTAGGAAAATCAAATCAACATGAGATTTGAGGAAAGATATTAAATCTTTCTATGTGCAGCCTTTTGTATATGCACATTATGCAACTATTTCACATCACCCTAATTTATACATAATGGATGATATATATGGTCTTAAATTTTCTCTGGTTTAAAGTTTTTCTTCTTACAGGTCTCAGGGGATTTTAAAATAATTTCATTCCAAGAGGTGGTTCCACTGATGTAATTTCATATATAAAGCAAAATTTGAAAGTCAGTTTTTAAAAAGATTTTAATTAATTCATTATATGTTAATGTAGCCATACATCTTCTACTTCAATATAGTATTTATGAGTGAGAATTAATATTACCTTGTGATAATAATAATAACAACAATAAACTGGGTTGTGAGAGATTTTTAAAGTTTGGACTTGTAATGTTTTTTCCACAGTTCACAGCTTAAGCTAATGACATTTTGTGGGGGGCATTTTTAATAAGAACATGAACTAAAACTGTGTGAAAAGCATCACTGGCTAGTTCTTCTCATTTGATGGTAATTTTAGGAGACTCCAAACTAAAAGTGACCTGAATTCCAAGTTAGCCTATTCAAGAGATGCATTATTTGCACTCTTGATTACTAAATGTTAGTCAGATAAGTACAGTCTCTGCATGAAGAGGGCTTATAAAATCTATTTCTATTATATTTAAGCTGAAATGACAGTACCTACTGCCAGTATTCTTGGTTGGGTACAACTGAGTTTAGTATTAGAAATATTTAATATATTTGCTGACTTGAGGATCTGGAGTCTAGCTATAAACCTCTACTTAAGTTCCTAAATAACTTTCAGTTTACTTCTAATTTACAGACCTAGAAATGAAAGTATATATGCAACATTTACACATATGTATGTGCATCTAATTTGCAAAACGAGAGCTCAAAACTGCAAATTTGCAAAATTTTAAGTGGCTGTAACATCTTTTTTTGTAGACTATTTAGTAATTTTGCTTAATGCTTACAGTGTTTGCACAATCCAACAACCCTAGAAGAACTCAGCCAAAGCAAATGTCAAAACTACTCAAAATTGCAAGGCAGAAAAATGAATACAATCTTTTATGATTACTTCAGTAATTCCTAGAATTCCTTAGGTCTGGAACATCCTAACAGTATTACCATTTTATTGAGTTGATCTTCACTAACATTTTGACAAGGGTTGCTGTTATAGCTGTATGATCCCTTCTAAAGCATAAAGAAATTGGTTAGGAATTGAAAAGGGGAGGTGTAGAAAAAAATAAAATAAAAAGGAGTTTATCTCTTAGGCTCTAAAATCTGCAGGCTAAAAGGAATGATTGGTCCATACCCATAAATTCAATCCCAAGATGCTCTGCCAATGCAGAAAGTTGACAAAAAAAAGAAAGAAAAAGGAAAAAGTTTCAGAAAAGAGCAACACACTGTACTCAAAAATAAATCACATATGAGAATTGCAGCTATTCTGTGTCCGCATATGAAACAGGACAAAGGGGTGTATGATTACATGGGCAGTGCTCAAGTGTGCCTCTGCAAGCTACATGACCAGACCTTCTGCAAGGGTTACACACCAAAATAAGTATGGGGGATCTGAACAGCCACAGTGCAAGGAACGCAGCAGGAACCATTAACTCAATGGTTTTACCGAGGTGAAGGGGGCTATGGCCTGAGGATGCCAAGTGAAACGGCTGATTGTTTTTAAAATTGAATCATGAGAACACAGGGATGCATTACAAGGGACAGTACCCCCCTGCAAACGGATCATGCATTGCCCTCCCTTCTGGCCCCGATCCTGTCCTCGGTATGCAGCTCCTTGCTCTTGTCGATTGTAACTTGGAGGTGGTTGGGATGGTTTATTCAACACTGGGAGCCCTTCTCAGCTTTGCAAACTGACTGTGGGAAGGATCTCAATGAGTCAGCCCCTCTTCCCCTGCATTTGGGCTGCGCTGCTTCGGCAGGGCACAAGCTGACTGGCTGGATGCACCCTGGGATGCAGGGTCTGGTGCCATATACATGGGTCATAAGTTTAAATTAGCACTCCCAGGCCCCAGCAGCTGAGTATGTGGAGTTACACAGGTTTTCCCCCAGCAGGTACCCTAGGATGCCCTTCCCACAGGGACAACTCCGTAACTGTGGTAGCTCTCACTTTCTTTGGGCTTGTGTGCTGTGAAATTTAAATCCAAGCCCAATTATCTGACCAAATGGCTATTTTATGTAGTTTGTACACATGGGGAATGCCAATTCTTTCCTGCCAGTCAGTTACTCTTAAAGGATTAAGTAATTTGGAATCCATCAAGGTCTCTTCCTAAAGAGCCAATACGACATGCCTACATGAACACTGATAATACATTAGTTGCATAGAAAGCTTGGTTAAGTCTTCAATAAAATGAATGACATGCCCATGCATATATACTTCTGTATTTATGCTTGCTTATAGGTAAGATGCCTAGCCTGGATGTAATTTAATTTTAGGGGAAGTTGTTCATATCATGCAGTTTTTATTTCAAATAATTCAATGGGAAGTTGGTATTTAAAATGGGAATATATTCTGGTTGAAAGCCCTGACAAGAAAACATACTGGAAAAACATGCATTGCTTATTCAAATCTGGTTGTCATGTAGCTCTTATTTATCTTTGGTTTTCCTAGCTACCTTCCCTAGACATGGTTAAAAGAAAGCAGAATTTCCCAACACTTCTCTTTTTATAAACAGGTCTTTATTTTTGATCTTTTCCTATCTAACTCAAAATCTCATTGCATACTTCTCATATGCAATGTGGTTTCTATTGAATATTTGTCCAGCTGTTCTAAGAAATAATTTTTAACAACTCAGTTTTCATTCCAGATGTAATTTTTGTGGGGGGCAGTACTGTAAGAAAAAAATTCGTGAGTAGTGGGTTTTTTCCCCAGAAAATGACTTAAAACTACAACTCACTGGCCATATAGTAGCACATTAGGGTCCAGGGTCTACAGATCAGGAAATGCTTTAACAGGTCCTTGGGGACTGCAGGCTGCCTGCCACAGCTGCTGCACATCCAAGCTTCGTGGTGGCTACTCTATAGCTTTAGGTGGGTGTGTAGCCTGGGCACATGGTGCTGGCCAGTGAGGGGTGAGCACAGCTGCAGATTTGTGTGGGGACCTTGCACCTGACAAGGGAAGGACCCTTTTGGATCAACTGCATGCAGCAGCAGAGACGTCCAGGGAGACTCTGAGGCAACAAGATGCCATGTTTCTTAAGTCATTATTTAGTTTTTCTTATTAAATATGGTTTGTGGGTAATGAGAAATTCTAAAAATGTTTCTTTTTCATGTAATTAGAATTGAAAACAAAGTAAAATTCCCCAAACTATCACAGAGTAGAACACCTACATGTTGTTCAATGCTGCTCGAAGGGCTGGGATTCTGTGTCTCTACACAAGGCTTAGGATCCACTTTGGATACTAAATCTTGGTTAATTTCAGTGGTACCCAGGCTGCAAAATCAATTCTGAACTTGGGATGTTAAGTCCTGCGTCTCCTGTAAAAGTGTTATCCTACAACTGATTCGAGTCTCAGAAGTATAAAAAGTGTCCTTTCTTAATTATTCTATTATGGCAATTTTAGCATTTAATGAACATCAACTAAACAGTTTATAGTGAAAAACTGTACTCTTTGACCTTGAGCAGAAGATGGACAATGACATTTTTCAAATCTGTTTGTATCATTTAGGAATCTTGGTCTCAGGACATAAAGAGTACAATTTAGGGTGCTGAAAGGCATCAAGGATGGCAGTGCTGAAAACAGTTTATGGGTCCCACGTTGAAACACTTGCCTTCAGGAACACAGGGACCACATTCAGTTCATGCCTGAGACAGCTCACAGCATGCCCCACAAGATGTTCTGTATTCACAATGCACACATAACTGTTAACTGGGGAGATAAGCAAGTCAATTGGCCCTTTGGGTAGGTCCCTGGCCCATTTGGGGCATTTGCGAGGACAAAAAGTTTACCTGTGATTATGCTCTAGAGAAGCTTCCTCAACCTTTTATTAATCCAAAGCTCTGCCAAGTGTTTCTCATCCCAAGGATCATTCTGCTCACAGTGTTGATATAAGAGTTCTCATGCATAGCTACATAAAAATTAGCCCAAACTTTTAATGTTAATTCATTACTTCAATTTTCCTCCATTTGCCTTGCTTCCTTACCTTCAAGGGAGTGAATATATGAACATTCAAATACACAAATATATCTGCATGGAACAGATGTTATTTCTGCAACACTTTTGTGGACCACTTTCTGGTGTCTTATGGACCAAAACTGGACCACCAGCCTCAAAATCAAAACTGCTGCAACAGAAAGGACATTACAGAGTCTGCCAGCCATACTCCAGAGATGGAGCAAAATTAGCACAGTTTGTTCTTTAATTTTCCGTGGTCTGCAGTGGCAGTAAGCATGTGTTGAAAGGGAAAAACTGCATGGCTGCAGTGCTCGAGGTATCTGTAGCAGTGGGGAATCTGACAGCCATCACCTCTTGGCCAGAACAGGTTGTCCTATTCTTTGGTGTGTTTGCAAAGCTGAAAGCCAAGGGACAGTCAGCCTAAACATGTGCTTTCCAGTAGTGTCCCTCACAACCATGCCCACTTTTGTTCACATTTTCAGTGACAGAAAGGAACAACATTTCTATACAAGAACTTTTCTTAAAATGCAGATCCACCTAATTTCCTGTGTCGCTTTTAAAGATATTTCTAGTCTACCATGGTAACTGAATCCTTCAGGGCTAACCAAACCACTGCCAAGTCAGTTAGCCTTGCACTCTGCTGAGACAGGGGATTTCCAGAATGCTCAGCCTTGTTTTCTTGCAAAAGGCCCTCAGCAAAGTTCATAACTTCAGAAGTCTTACAAATACCAATCCCAGGGCAGATTTCTGAAGCTAACTTTTCCTTAATACCCAAATACAGAACCTTAAAATACACTTTTGTTTCCTACTGGAACTTATGCTGTTTAACATCCTTATTTGTTCTGTACTTTGCAAAAGCTGCATCTACAGAGCTAAGTTAACACTTGGTGCAAAGTATGAGCTCGGCTTTTTAATTGCTATTTTAAAATGTAACATTTGCCTGAAGGTAATTCTTATTCTAAGACCCCTTTTTAATTGTATGGTCTGGTCTGCATTGCTTGTAATAATAAAAAGTCATATAAACGCTTCTTCATTGATTTTTTTGGTTAAATATAAATGTATCCTCACTGGACCCTTACCAAAAGTGTCATTTTAAGATTCACAGCAGTTTAAGAAACCTGAAGTTATACTGCAATTGCAAGGTAGACAGAAGTGCCAGAGTCTCACAGACATTGCCTGGGGCTCTTAGAGTAGCCTGAGGTAGGTAGTGGTGTGCTCTCTTGCTAGTGCATTTCAAGGACAGAAGGGCTGGACCAGCTTAAGTACTTACAGCTGAGCATAACTCCTGCAGTAAGGCAAGATATCTATGCATTTTCACAGAATTACAGAATCGTCTAAGTTGGAAAAGACCTTGAAGATCATCCAGTCCAACCATTAACCTAACACTGACAGTTCCCAACTACACCATATCCCTCAGCGCTATGTCAACCTGACTCTTAAACACCTCCAGGGATGGGGACTCTACCACCTCCCTGGGCAGCCCATTCCAATGCCTAAAAACCCATTCTGTAAAGAAATGCTTCCTAATATCCAGTCTAGACCTTCCCTGGTGCAACTTGAGGCCATTCCCTCTTGTCCTATTGCTTGTTACTTGGTTAAAGAGGCTCATCCCCAGCTCTCTGCAACCTCCTTTCAGGGAGCTGTAGAGGGCCATGAGGTCTCCCCTCAGCCTCCTCTTCTCCAGACTAAACACCCCCAGTTCCCTCCTCATAGGACATGTGTTCCAGAACCTGCACCAGCTCTGTTGCCCTTCTCTGGACACGCTCGAGTCATTCAATGTCCTTTTTGTAGTGAGGGGCCCAAAACTGAACACAGGTGTGGCCTCACCAGTGTCGAGTACAGGGGCAAGATCCCTTCCCTGTCCCTGCTGGCCATGCTATTGCTGATACAAGCCAGGATGCCATTGGCCTTCTTGGCCACCTGGGCACACTGCTGGCTCCTGTTCAGCCGGCTGTCAATCAGCACCCCCAGGTCCCTCTCTGACTGGCAGCTCTCCAGCCACTCCTACCCAAGCCTGTAGCGCTGCTGGGGGTTGTTGTGGCCCAAGGGCAGCCCCTGGCATTTGGCCTCATGGAAACTCCTCCAGTTGGCCTCAGCCCATGGCTCCAGCCTGTCCAGGTCTCTCTGCAGAGCCTCCCTACCCTCGAGCAGATCAACACTCCCACCCAACTTGGTGTCATCTGCAAACTCACTGAGGGTGCACTCGATCTCCTCGTCTAGATCATCAATAAAGGTGTTAAACAGGAGTGGCCCCAAAACCAAGCCTTGGGGGACACCACTTGTGACCGGCCACCAACTGGATTTAACTCTGTTCACCACAACTCTCTGGGCCTGGCCATCCAGACAGTTTTTTACTCAGCAAAGTGTATGATCGTCCAAGCCACGAGCAGCTAGTTTCACCAGGAGAATGCTGTGGGAAACAGTGTCAAAGGCCTTACTAAAGTCAAGGTAGACAACATCCACAGCCTTTCCCTCATCCAATAAGCAGGTCACCCTGTTGTAGAAGATCAGGTTTGTCAGGCAGGACCTGCCTTTCATAAACCCATGCTGACTGGGCCTGAGCATCTGGTTGTCCCTCATGTGTTGTGTGATGGTACTCAGGGTGAGCTGCTCCATCAGATTCCCAGGCACCGAAGTCAAGCTGACAGGCCTGTAATTCCCCAGATCATCCTTCTGACCCTTCTTATATCTGGATGTCGCATTGGCCAATTTCCAATCAGTCAAGACCTCCCCGGTCAGCCAGGACTGCTGGTAAATGATGGAAAGTGGCTTCGCGAGCACCCCAGCCAGCTCCTTCAGCACTCTGGGGTGTATCCCATCTGGTCCCATAGACTTGTGTGTGTCTGTGTGATGCAGCAGCTCACTGACTGTCTCCTCCTGGACTGCAGGGGGGTCATTCTCCCAGTCTCTGTCTTCTGGCTGAGGAGGCTGGATTCCCTCAGTACAACCAGTCTTGTTATTAAAGACTGAGGCAAAGAAGGTATTAAGCACCTCAGCCTTCTCCTCATCACTTGTTACCATGTTTCCTCCTGCATCTAGAAGGGGATGGAGGCTCTCCCTGGTCTTTCTTTTGCTGCTCACATACTTATAGAAACATTTTTTGTTTTCCTTGATTGATGAAGCCAGATTAATTTCTAGCTGGGCTTTAGACCTCCTGATTTCTCCCCTGCATAGCCTCACAGCCTCTTTGTAATCACTGTGTGTGTCTAGCCCCTTCTTCCAAAGGCTGTAAACTCTCCTTTTCTCTCTGAGTTGCAACCAAAGCTCCCTGTTCAGCCAGGGTAGACTTCTCTGCTGCTGGCTTCTCTTAGAGCACCTGGGGACTGCCTGCTCCTGTGCCATTAACACTTCCTTCTTAAAGAGTCCCCAGCCTTCCTGGGCCCCTATACCCTTCAGGACTGTCTCCCAAAACAAATCAAAGTCAGGAAGTCCAGGATGGCATTTCTGCTGCCCCCATGGAGGCAATTTCAGAAAATCTTAGCCTGGTGTCTACTGCCCAAAGATTCTTTTAAAAATCCAAACCAGAGTTAGGAAATTGAAAAACTAATGAAAGAAAAAAACACCTAAACCTCTTTTTTTTTTTTTTTTTTTTTTTTTTTTTTTTTTTTAAAGGAAATTATGATCAACATACAATTCTGTCATAGTTTTCAAGGTAAATTCAGCAGAAAGCAATGGATCTTACATTTTTACACCATCTCTTTTTGAATGATTTTTTTAAGATCAGAAAACCTTAACTGCACTTTTCACCACAATACACAGAAAAGGTCATTGAAATCTAACATTTGATAAATGTTGTAACAGTATATAAATTTTCAAATCCATGGTTACCAGAGGCATTTTAAAAATAACTCACACTAATAAAGCTTTTAAAACAGGGCATAAATTACACACTTGAATGTTGGAAGGTCTGGTCTCCAGTCAGTACCTTTGGGATTTACATGGGTAGCTTCCATGATGGGCAGTATGAATTATATATGGACATCTATCAGTATAAGAGAAAACCTGTGTATCTCTTCAGGCTCCAAAATGTCCATTACACGCTAACACCTTTTTGTCCTATATACTTGTGGAAATTAAATTAAACTAGCCTATAGTCTCTGAAATCTTTCTGTGCTGGCAAGTCATCCATCAAAAATATTAGTTTCTGTAATACTGTTTTAGATCATAGTACATTCTGATGCCAGTGACAACGAATTATGAATAGTACATATGCATTAAAATGTAAGATCTAACCAACTTTCTTATATGTTACCTTTGACTTTTCTATAACCAATGAGAGAAAATAAATATTCAGTGTACTTTCTGTTTCCTCCCTGACAAATAACAATAATTGACTCACTCCTCAATGGGAAAGCTTATGAGATATGTGACTGCAGTGCTGATTCTACCAGCATTCTGAAAAAGAGAGAGTCCTTTGTGTGTCTGAGTGTCTGGAACATTTCTTTGGCCAATTAATCTGGCTCTGAAATATTTGTTCTCTTGTGCCTGTTACCCACAAATAAATTTGTTGGACCCCATTGTTGATGCTGTCTCTCCCTATTTTCTTTTTCTTTTTGTGCTCCTTCCCCTGAAATTTGGACAATGAAGAGGAAGAACACTTTGATTCTGTTTGGCATGAGCTCCTTAGATATGATATAAGCATGTCAATTACCTTTAACTTGTAGGTCTGCATACAAATTTCATAGGCAGGTAGAGGATTAGCTACCTGTCCCTTCATTGGAGGTATACTGCCCTATATAGATACCCATAAACTTTTTTTGGCAAATAAAATGTGAGACTTTCAAAACGTAATTTTTGCACTTTTACTGCTTGATGACAGTGGGGAGTCTGTATAACACCATTCAGTGTTAATTTCATAGCATTCCTAAGTTTTACATTTTCCCGTATCCTCAATGCTAAACAATCCAGGAGAGTATTGCAATTTTTTTTTTGTTATCATTTCCATGCAACAAGCAGAGACAATCAATATTAGGCCTTAGGCAACAAATCTAGTCACAGATTAGAAAAAAAATTGGAGAAAAAATGCAGCAACAAGAAAGCAGCACTGACTGAGCATGCTTCTACTGAGGCACAGACAGAAAGGTAGTGGACGTACTGTAGAAGCTGGCCATTACGTAGTTTTGGCAGCGATCACCAGTAAATTCATTTGGGCACCTGAGAGGAAAAACAAACAAAAAAAATGGTAGAGAAAAAACAGAGAAAAGAGAAGAGGTGAATATATGCTAAGAAAGAAGCTCCTTCAGTGTGAACTGATATGACTTGGTGAGTTCACTGTCAGAAACTGAATCTCGGTTTAGCATGTCAAAATGGCTCAGGATGTTGAGAGCAACTCATTTACTCTGTGGAAATGAAAAGAAATCCCCCCATGAAAAACCAGACAAAACCAAACCAATTCAGATCAAAGTGTGTTTCAAGATGTGAGGCAGAAATTAACAATTCCAAATTCCCAAATTGCTTTTAGGATGCACTTTCCACAAGCCAGCGAGGACACAAGATCTGTACACCGCTCATCTCCATGAGTTTGCTCTTTTAGGGTTGTACTTTACAGCAGTCTTCCAAACAGGAAAGCTGCCAGTTTGTGCAATACAAATGCATCTGCAAATGGATGGAAAGATAAAAAAATCACACAGATGAGAAACATTTTGGTGGTCAATAATGCCATGGTGTACAGATTTTACTTTAGAGAATCAGGTCATAAATTATTGTGTAGAGGCCAGTTCCAGCTGAACTGTGAAAACACCAAGTACTATTGATTTTGTTGCTGTAGTTGGGGAAGAAAGCAAAGTTCAGATTATTTTAACATACTTTCTTGGTTTTGGATTTTCATGGGCAGTGTTTCAGTACATCTTGCTCCAGTGAATCCAGGTTGGCACCTAAAGGGCAAAAACGTGATAAGCAATAGTACACCAAAACCACTGCACTAACAGACTGACATCTGGTGGCCTATGGAGATGGGAGTGCATTAAGTGACCTCCTGGTTAGGTGTTAGTGAAGAATGATCAGAAAAGGGGCAAGAAAGTGTAACCTTTCCAGAAGATAACACTTTGCAAAATTTACAGCAAAAATCCACCAGAGAAAAAAAATCTATGAAGGCTTTCTATGTGTCTGTTTTGAAAAAGAAAGAAGAATCAGCACTAGCAAAAATGTGTATCAACTCACTGCTAATTCCACCTCATGAAGGGACCAGATAGCGTGTTTTTAAATTTGCAGTGCAGTGTATAACAGCAATCTACACTATTGCTTTCACCAGTCATTTAAAATCTGTGAAAATACCATGGTTTCCCTATTTCTGTAATGGCATGTTGTATCTTCCAGTGATTTCCTTTGAAGGGGAATAGTTAAAACAGCAATCACATAAAAGACAAAAAAATTCCCCAAAGTGAGAAGACAAATTCAAACCCAATGGCAGGAAGTATATTCAACATGGCTGACAAATGGAAAAATAGTCCAATCAATAAGTAAGATGAGAGGGCAGAGGTTCTCTCAAAATTTGAAGCCCCACAGCAGTTCTGTCTTTTCAGTTCATAAGATCTTCTGTGGAAAACTTCAGTGCAGCTTTCCCCTTCGCCATAGTGAAGGAATTTCTCTTCTGTACTTTGCCTGTCTTTTCTGCTGCTGCTGTCTGTCAACTCTTCCTTCACCTTTATTCTTTATCTTGGGGCAGACCTCAGGCTCCCCAAATATCAACATAGCAGTCCAGACATAAGTGTGCATGACTGTCCACCACACTAAACTTCTATAGATCTCAATCTTCTTTCCCCTTTCTTCTTCGACCCACTCTTACTCAGCATGTAACCCGAAATTACCTTCCTTGAATACATCTCATTTGTGTTGCCTGTCTTTCTGATGCTCTCCATGAGTTTGCCATGGTTCAAGAATCTCCCCTCTTCTGCTCCTGCCAATCTGGTGCTAGCCTCCTTTTCAAACTGCTTCATCATTTACTCACCAGGGGCCAAAAGAGCCTTCTTATTTCCAAATGCACGTTGTTCAGAATAATCCTTCACCTCTTCTACCCATTTGAGTTTCACAGGCATTGAAAGTTGTCCTGATTTTTTAAATTACACCCTTCCACAATTGCCTGTAGCCCTAAGGGTCAGAGATGCTGCACTTGTACAAGTGGGAAAATCGCTTTGGCAGAGAACCAATGTCAGGCATAAATACTATTATCTTGTTCAAATAAACCATGTGGGAATTATTTTTGTCTAATAAGGGTGTATTTTGAGGATCTGCAGATGATTTGCTGTAATGATACATTTGTTAAGGAAGAGAATTTATGTTCTTCAGAGCCAAGGTCGCATCTTTTGATAAGTACCCAGTGGGGAGAGATCCCAATCTCCTCAGATATATTCAGCTGACAAAAATGCAACAAGGGTAACTCTGTCATGAAAAGGTGGTATTGATGGGCACAATGGACGACTTTTTTACATCTTTGATGGAAGACAAAATGCTAGATAGCATTTTGATCCATGTTACTGAATGAAAATAAAAATATTTTACCCTCATAATTTCAGTTTTATTTTGGACTATGGTGATCTCATTAAATACCTGTTGCTGGAAAGCTGGCATTCACACCTGCATTATCTTTTGTTTCACAGGGACCTCTACATCTTGCCCATGAGGCTCAGCCCTACACAGTGAGAATTCTGCTGATTAAAAGCCTCAGACTTTGCTCCTGCCACTGGCTGGTGGTGGTTGCTTGTTCCATCTTTGCTTGTCTTTAGATGCTCGTGCAACTGTGGAGGTAACGAACACAACTCGAGCACTGGTGTTGATAATGCTGAAATTGCTTCCAGACCAAGCAGGGTCAGCTCTATTGAGATGGTGCTGAAAACAGTTCATGTGTGTTTATACTTGCTCTGAATCCATTGTCAGCAAATGGACTGCAGCACCTGCCTGCCGCTGCGAATGAGTCCAGGGCAGGCCAGCTGAGACGAGAAACAAGATAAGCCTGTTGGTTTATGATTTTGTGTGAATGCTAAAGGCATTTTATTGCTCAGATATGCAATGCAGCACCATTTCCAGTGCTGTTTGGCAGGTTGTTTACTGTAAACTGATTTTACAAACAGCTTGCGATGGCATAATTTTTGAAACACCCTATCCCACTCAAGGTTTCCAGACCTTATTTCTTGCTGTGTTTTTCTTTTCTAGTTCATTACCTGTGTAACATTTCCTTTTATGACACTAGCAAAAGTTGGAATCGGGCAGCTTGGAGAAACAAGTAGATGTTTGTGCTTTGAGAGCCTTGTTATTTCCTTTTTGTCTAAATAAAAGGCTATTTGGAATATTAATTTATCGTATTAACTAGGTGAAACCACAATAGTAAGCCACATATACTAAAATAATTGCTTTTATCCTCTACACATGGTAGTTGCAAAGAGTAGTATTTGCATGCATTCCAAAGGCACTTCTCAGAACATCAAACTCATATCATCAAACTGTTTTTTGGCAGGAGAGGAATGGCTGAGTGGATCAGGACCTCACATTTCCATTTCATCCACTGCCTGTAAGCAAATTGTGGGAGATGGTTTTTTTTTTCATGGGAAGTACAGAACACTTCCATAGTCAGTAGTTCATTTCATAGTCTAAGTTAAAACTAATATTTCTATCCTGCCTGTTGAATTAATCTAACTGAAACTTTTGCTAGCATCATAGAAGCAAATTTTCTCTTTTTGCTGTTTTCAAGAACCTTCTGTCAATTTCTTCTCCACCAAGGCCTTTACATCAAAATGGAGATAGAAAATGGTGATATAATTAAAAAGGAAATAATCCACACTTTTGCTGTTAAAGAAAAGCAGCATCCTTCAGTTAGACAGAAGTATTGTTTTCATCCAGTTAAATTCGGATATAAATGCATTTCTTCAGTAACAACAAAAGCACTAGAAAATATGATCTCCGTGAGTAAGGAATCAATTAGTCAGACCAGCCAGGCCTTCATGGTAGGATACTTCAAAAGAACACTCTAAAAGCGTAACAGATATTATATTCATATAGATTTTTCTTCAAGTAAGAAGCAAATGCTAGGAATTCTGGTCTAAATTCTGTATTTATTGAAGAAGCTATCTGATTTTTTTGTCTTTGATGAACTTGGGAACACCTTTCCAACCAAACAGAAATAAGTTAGAAACCTCAGTCTCATAGGAAGACAGTAATGTCCAGGCTTCCAAAGTCTATGTTTTAAAAATGTGACTCACGTTCCTATGAAACTTCTGAAAATTTTATACACTAGTTTATTTAAGTAGTCTCAAAGCTTCCTTTCTCATCTTTCATATTTTGACATTGTTTTGTGCAGTCTGGGGCCATAATTAAAATACACGTAGGGAACATACATGCTACCATAGATGTAGCTTCACAACTCATTACTAAGTTTTCACACATTTCTTGAGTATTTCACATGGTTACCTCCTGAAAGCAGAGAATTTTCTTAAAGTTCACACCAGTATCTTTGAGAGCAATATCTGATCCAGTTTGTATCATTTTACTATGTATTTTACAAAACTTTTTTTTTTTTTTTTTTTTTTATTAAATAGAATAGGGTGTTTACAAAACCAGAGATATCCCTTGGAAAATTCCATGGTTGTTGTGAATCTGAGTCATGTTTTTTGGTTAGGGATAAAACCAATTTAAAATGATATGGCTCATGCTTTAGAAATTTTGTTTTTGCTCTCAACAGATGGACCATATGGAAAAATGCGAACTTGCTACTGAGGCAGAAATATGAAGAGCAAGTACCATATTTCAAGCATTCTGTTTCCACAGGCATGTTCTGGGGAAAGATTTATTTTCTCAGAACAATGAAGGCAATGTGTACTGGTTAGATACTTATTTTAATTAACACTAGAATACTAGAATTAAAATTAGACATCTGTATTTTTAATGAAATAAGAATAGAACCATCAGTCTCTTCAGTTTCCCAGTACACCTATTTTTAAGTACTCACACTTTCATTTCTTACACGGCTATATTGCATCCTGTTTTGCTATACAACATAAAGTTTCAGTTCTGGCAAGTATTAGAGGGCATAGCAAAAGGCCCTGCAAAATAGCAGTGGCCCTGTCCTCAGGATAAGAATCCTTTTCCACTGCCTTGTTCTAAATGAGATTCACTCGCTCTGATTTTAAAGCTCTGATGCTTTTTCCAAATAGGTCTTGGGCCACCCAGAGAGAGGCACATCTGCCAAATACAGGAACTGCCTTTTCTTTCAACTCCAGCCCCAGAATTAAAGGTTATTTCTGTCTACAAGAGGGGGCAAAAAAAATTCCCCACTTCATTCAAATGTCTCTGAGACATTTAATTTAAAAATTAGCCAACCTATAACATCAACAAACAAACAAAGATCTCCAAATTAAAAAAAAAAATAATTCGTCATACGAGTGAAAATGGGATACCTCTGAAACTGTCAAGACAATGCTAATTATTACCAAGTCTGCCAGATGCTCAGCTCTGCTGCCCTGGACTTTTCTGAGCAATGTTTGGGTAAGAAGTTGAAACAGGCAGGTAGGCTCTTGTACATGACATGGAGAGTCATAGCAAACTGCTCATCTTGTACAGATGATTTAAAATGGTCATGTAAATTTAGCACAAATCTTTCTCCCCCTCTCTCTCTTTCTCTCAGAAAAGAATCCAACCCACCAGAGCCAGTAACTTTTCCATATTCACTTCAGCTAAAAATTATTCTAAAATCAATGAAATATTCATCATGTTCAGCAACAGAGCAATCTGTGAAAAACCAAAGCAAAACAAAGCTCATACGATGCAAGTAACATCCTTCTACAAATAAAGAAAACTTACAAGTAAAGCAGAACATTGTGGGGTTTGGTGTTTGTGGGGTTTTTTGGGTGTTGGTTTGTTTTTTTTTAATTACAGAGACAGGCAGTCAATGCTTTCCTGGGCTAATGAAAGCATCATAGACCTTCACTTAACTCACACACCAGATCCATCTTTGCAATTAGTGTAATTTGATTTTTAGTCCTAGAAGACTGAAAATCTATGCAGTTACAGCAGATGTCAGTCTTCACTGACCACTGTCTCTTGTCTGCCTGAAAACCAGCAATATCCTCACAAAAGTGCACCCTTTTCACTCAGTCCTGCGAGCTCCCAAGGATGTTTCCCAGGGTTTAAACACTGAGCTCCTTCTCAAACTAGAAAGAAGCAGTAACTCACTATGACTAGTTCAGCTCCAGAGGTAAATGCTACATGATGTGCTGCTACCAGGCAGGAGGTGAACTCCAGTGCTGTAGCTCTTCTTGGATGTTCTCCAACATAATGGACTACTGTAACAGCCCAACACAGCATGGACCAGGACTTGAGAAAGGTGTAAGAGTACAGCCTTAAGACTAAACTGATATTAATTCCTGATTCAGTCAAGATCCTTACATGAAATAGTAACCTCTACCAATTATGACATTCACTGTTTTTTAGGCAATTAAACACAACAGCAAAAACTCCAGTTGTGAATCCAGTCTTAGCAGAAAGTGTTCAGTTACTACAGAAGACAATAAAAATAACCAGTTTGTCCTGTATAAAGGGTACTTATCCAATGCAGTTATGCACACAACTTTTTTTCTATTTCCAGTGTATTTAATTTGCAGTATCTGTTCCATTATTTCTAACATAAGGCTCAAGTTCTGTTATTTCAGCCATATAAAAATCAGTGGGGCTTGCTGTGCCAGTATCACATGGGAAGATCTCTCAATTAGTGTCTGTTATGCCTCATACACAGAACACAGAGGTCATTCTTGGTAGGTTATGTTCACATCCACGTATTTAAAAATGAAGAAACCTCTAATTCCGCAAGTACAGGAGAAGAAATTGTTCAGGTGGTCCTTTAAAGAAAAAAGTATTTCTGGAACCTGGTGGCTCCACTGAAGTAAGCAAATAGGATTTCTTACCTGCATAGGTATCTTGGGGGGTTTGGGAGGTCTTTAACCATGTAACACTCTCCTCCATTTACACAGAAGGCTTTCTGCTTTATATCACATTTTGTGAGATGACTTGTCCCGGTTGTAGATGTGGAAGTGGCTGGAAAAGAGAAGAGTGAAAATACGGTCACAATAGTTTCGTTTTTCTTCTTGACTGATAAATGTATGTGAGGGAAGAGAGGATCTGGCAAGTCTTTTCAGCCCTCTATCTGCTGCTAGCACAACCACTAATTACTATATATTATATTACTACAAGCACTAATTATTATATTAAAAATAACACCTGACCCTGTATTTTGCTGATCAACACAGGGAGTAGAGTTTTAATGCATACCTCAGAGATATGCTACCCCACACCCAGCTTGGAACAAAGAGAGGATTTCACTAGCCTTGTCCATCAAGTGACCTTAAATTTCTGCAACAAAATTTAATTTAATACAATTTAATGTATTTCATTAAAAATGTGTAATTTATGTGCAGTTACTTATAATGCATTAATTGCATTCAAATAATTTTCGGGTGTGAGAGTCATTACAGACTGCTGATATAGTGCTCAATAAAAGGAAGCCCTGGATGACGTTTCTTCCTGGAATTGTCTTGAAGTAGGTGTTTTTCAGTGGAGCTAAACCTGAGGATCCATGATGATGTAATCCCTCGGGACTGAACCCCTTGGTCCAGCCACTGCTTTCTTCTCAGGAAAGAGAGTGACTGGCTGAATGCTGAGTGCCTCTTCCCCTGCTCATAAATGAGACCCATGGCTGCTCTGGTTCAACTCTGTAGGGAGGGAGAGGACAGGGGGCCTGGAGGCATTGTTTGTCCTGTGCATATATGGTTGCCTCCCTTGTGCCCATGGGAGCCTTTGATTTGGAGGCCAAACTAGCATCTCCTGCAGATGGGCTCATCTGCATTAAGTATAAACAGTTCTGAGCCACCAATGCTGCTAGATACCATTAGGTGTCTAAATTGCTATTAAATGGAAGTACCACTGTACCTGCAGTGTTTCTTAGCCTACTTCCTCCTTAGTTTAGGGAATACATGGAGAAGGCAGGAGCCGAGTTTAGTTAACAACTAAAGGCCTTTAAGGAGTCTATCAGGGTAGGATGAGAAAACCCTAGCTTTAGGATTTGCCCATGCAGTATCTGCCCTGACCAAAGGGAGCAGTACCATAGGAGAGACAGTCCCCAAAAAGTCCTCACTTCAGTCATTGCTGGTAACTACTAGTATAAGGTGAATCTACCTGAGGTTACTCTAAACCAGTTAACAGTGACAGGGATGACGGGGAGGCCATATTATGCCCTCAGCTCCTTATGCTGCTTTGTGCCAGCAAAACCACCTTCTGAGCTGAGTTAAACCTAAGCCAGTCATATACCTGCTAGGCTGCAGCTGCAGCCCCAAACTATAATCTCCGGTGGTCTCCTAGTTTGGGTAAGTTTTGCTCCAAATTCTGTCAAAACAGGGTAGACATAGTTGAAGTCTGGACACCATTCAGTACCCAGGTCAGGAACCATAACACTGATGGGCTATTTGACCTCTGGAGAGTCATTCAGGTTATTCATTTCACTTGATTTTATCTGCCTAAAACTGAATTGTTTACTTGTAAGGCACTCTCTACTGCTCTCAGAAAGCAGCTCAACTTATCCTCACAATGAATGGAATAAACAGCCCCCCTGATAGTGTCTGTCTCCCTATCTTGACTGCAGAGCAAGCTTGAGAGTACACCCCTACTTTTCAAACGGCTAAAACTAACTGAAGTGACTATCTGTCATCTGTAAAAACCGAGAGAGATTCCTGCATTGTTTTTGTTTAGGCATTTCCAGACATAGGTAAGTGAGAAATTTTGTTAGTGTTGAACAAATCCCAATGTTTTTGTTTCTGAAAGATAGCTTCTACTCTGAGGTGGAGCAATGCTTCTATCTACTGACTGATTACACTGGAGTTGACTAGAAAACTGCAAGCACCTACACAAAAGTTGTCTGATAATCAAAGCTTTTTCTAAAACAAAGGCACCCAAAGGGCATGTTGGTAACAGGTGATGCATGACGTTCTACCATTTGCTGCACACACTGAATCCAAATAAAACATGCTTTTGACAGATTTGCTATCAACAAATACCACTTACACATGTCAAGATCTTCTTTCTGAGAATAAGGATGAAGTAGTCCCTGTCAGATTTGATTTTCATTTTTCTCATCATCTTCCAAGTAAAACTACATTTTTAGCACTCAGCAATTGGGAGAATGGGCCACTTTGGTTGGCATTATTTTCAGAGTAGCTATCTTGTTTCAATGAGATGTACGATAGTGACTGGGATATTTAAGTCCTTTTTACTCCATCAAAATCCCATCTGCCTGTACAGCTAATGTCTCTCATACTCCTTTCTTCCTGTGCCATTAATCACCACTGTGCCAGCTTCTTTCTCTTTCTCCCATGATGCCTTGCTTACATGGTGTGCCCTCCTCTCATGGCCAGGAAAAGCCCTTCTGTGACCTCTCTCAAAACTTAAGCTCCCTCCTGCTTCTCACTTTTGCATTCACCCATTGAGTTACATCTTGTCAGATCATGATCTTAACTGGCGCCTCTAAGTGCTAATGAAATGCAAACTTGGAGTACTATTTCCTCATAATAAGACACTCCTTTCTCCTGGCCCCTCAAAGCATGATTTATAACCTCTCAGACCAGGAAAAATTTATGCCTTGTCTAGAGGCAGGAAAAGGGGTCATGTTTTAAGAGTAGTCTGACTCTCTTTCAGCTAGCACCGGTTCAAACAGGACTTTACACCCAGTGTTGAAAAAAGGCTGGCCAACAGATTGCCATTAGCTCAGCGGTGAAGGGTCATCTATGCTTGATGTCAGTGGGTTGACCACCGTCCTTGACATGAATCTTAGGATGGAGATATCCGCCTGGTAGAAGTGCTCTTCCTTATTCACTGGCTTGAAAGGACCCTGGACTATTAGCCCAAAGAAGATGCCTGACATGACAGACTACTGCATACCAAGGCCTAAAATGTGACAAACATGGGTGAGTGAATCCCATTCATATAGTAATGCACATTTTGAAGTCTTTGTGAATCTTAACAGGTAAAGTCACTACTAAGCTTATTCCTGCTGATAGCCTATCCGTCACTGTGTCCTTTTACCTTATTAAAAGACTTCAACCTGCCACCTGAGGATGTCTTCGAGCTCAGAAAACTAATGCATTAACTTGGAAGGGAAAAAACCCATCACTGTCTGCAGCGTTTCTGACAAAAAAGACCCAACACATTTTGCTACCCTGCAAATGGGATGTTTTAATTTGAATTTTGAAGGTAGATACAGTAGCAAGTGGGCTTGTAGCTATCCATAATTGTTTTCATCCTCTTGCTCACTGCTTTTTCTTTAAGCAGACTCAATCAAAAGCAGATCACCATAGTGTTTCAAAGTAAGTTATTTCCCAGCTGAGGTAAGTGAGCTTTGGATAGCAGCAATTGCTCTGTACTGCTTACTAGAGATAGGAATAGTCTGTAACTCTCAGAGGAATCTCATGATACAAGGGCTTTACACATATTTGTGAGGAGTGCCTCTATCTGCAACTTTGGCATCTCATGTTCAAAACTGTTGTATAAATCTGGTGTGAGAATTTTCTGTGCATTACTGATCCACTGACACCACAGTCCCAGTCTGCCTGAGCTTTGTAACTCCACAGGGTGAGGGGTGGAAAAAAGTCTCCAGTGAGTCAATTCTGATATTAATTTTTCTTTGCAAAGGATACATAGTTTTTATGGCACATGGCCAGTATTCAGAGTATGCATTGTAAGTCTATTTTGCAAATTAAATACAAGAAACGTTATAGTTTTGGGTTTCACTTAAAGCCACATAACGGAAGAAATGTGCTGTTTTGGGAGCAGGTGTTCATCAGAGCCAATTTCATACAGTCCATAACTAGCCCCAAAACACTGCCTTTCTATACATGTCTAGAAGACATGCGCTTGGAGGATGTATAGTGGCAATGACCCACAGTGGTGAGGTAAAGCACAGCTGCAGATCATGTATCTGTGCATTTATTCACCTAGTTTAAATTCATACCTCCTTTCTTTTCTGTAATGTTTTATTCAGCTATACAAGATAGAAAAGCTGGTTTGTTCTAGAGTCCTGTACCAAACCCCTAGCTTACTGAAGGGACTAAATTACACGCTGTAATGCAATTTGAAAATATCATGCATGAGATAACATCTGAAGACACCACACACCCCACTTTATTTTTTTCCCTTCCCTGAATACAGAAACACCACATTTTAAAAAGCAACTGCAGGCAGAATGAAGAGTACCCACTAATGCAAATATTCACATGGCACTAAAAGACAATGAGGTCTGCTCCCATCTATGGGAACTGATTAAAGCCATTAACAAGAAGAAAAATAGGAGCTATTGTATCTTTGAAAAATAACTCTAAAATGTGAATTACTGCTGTAAAACTACCTTAGGATCATTCAGTGTCAAGCAGACACAACTTCCTGTAATTCTGAGCTTACCTGGGGAATCTGACACTTTTTTGTCCCAAAACAGAAAAATGCATTCTCTTTCTCTCTCTTACTTTCCAAAAAACCCTCTGAAGTTCAGCAGCTACAGCATCAGGGCTCCCAGGACTGCACAGATGAGGCAGTCTGCTGAGAGGGGCTGTAAGAGGTCTCAGACTACTGACTGAGGGAAGGGCTTTGCAACCTAAACAGAATAGTATCCATGCCTCCGAATTGAGTTTCTGCAAAGCTGGTGTAAAATCAGAGGACACACTCAAAGTCATGCAAGGTGACTAGTGAGATGCTTATGACTCAGTGGAGATGAAGTCAACTGGCAGCTGCAGCACAAAGGAAGGTTGACCTTTCTCACTGGAAGGCCACTTAGGGGTTGTAAGTATGCCACCTCATTGGACTTCTAGTGGAGATCTTTCCAGGCTTCTTTTGTGAAAAAAGAAAGAGTAAATTACTGCAGAGGAACAGAACAAATACTTCTGTTCATCACTGTTTTCTGAGACAAAGGCTTGAGCAAAGCCTACTTGCAGCTCATGCCAATGGAAGAGGAATGGATCTGCATGGAGTGAGGGAGGGACAGAGGGAGAGAAGGAGGG